GGAGTTCAAAGTATTAAAGCATTGTAATATGTATAAGAGAACAGAGGGTGGTATACACAACTTTAATAAGTAGTAGATAAATAATATGTAATATGTAATATAATAAAGTACGCCATCCGGCATCCCCATAGTAGGGGTTTATATTAAAAAAAAAAATTAAAGCATTATCATTCTTGGTTTTAATTGATCCTTTTGTAGGCGCTGCTGTAAATGTGGCTTTGCCTCTCTGCATTTTTGTAAAGAAACTTGAGTATTGCCTTACTGGTTTATCCTTTTCTTCGGTTAATTTGTTGCTCTTCTCCTCTTCAATTCTTAGTGTATCTAGATCCATCTCTATTGTTCGTTCCGAGTCACCTGATCCGACATCGCTCATCACGTTGTCCGGATTTGTTCCAGAACCTTCTATTTGATCTACCATGAGATCTTCTGATCTTCCATTGCTTGAAAAAAAAGATTTTTCCGTTGAGTTGCTTTGACATAGACTGTCACCTTTCTCATAAGTGACTTCTGAGTTATCTGCCCAGCTTGTATTGAGGCTTGATGAGTCAGTTAAAGCTTCCTGAACCCGATTTTCCTTTAAGCCTGTGTTTTCTAGCTCCGATATAGGAACTTGGCTTTCGTTTTCCATGTTTCCGTTTTTTGATCTAGTATCTTGTGTTTTGCCTTTTTTCCTCCCTTTTTTTGTTTTCTCTGATTCCGTCATCTTTCTTTTTTTCCGTACAAGGGCTTTCGCCCTTGTTATTAGGGTTTTATTGGGTCCGTCTACTTTTTCTTCTAACGTCAGTATTTTTGTCCTACCACCCGGCACTAATCCAATGCAGAGTGATTGTCGATCCTTATATTTCGCGTGACTATCTTCAACGCATAAGTTATTACTTCTTTTTTTTCGATCTGCAAATTTCAAAATTTGCACTGAATTTAGTGTTCGTTTAGACAAAATTCAATTGAAAAATAATTTAGCTGTTCTCAAATTACCGAAAATTTCGGATAATGTAATTTACTGTTTCTTGTTTTGACGCAATGTAGTTGCGTAGCTACCTTATTATATAAAATTGATATACATGTGCTGTATATTACCAAACTACAAGAATGCCGATTATCAATGCTTAATGTTAAAGTTCAGAGAGCTAATCTTGCCGTTAATTCTTACAAGCTTTCATTTTATAACTTACATGTTAATATTACTAGACATTACTTTAACAAATCTTAGATTTATTAAATTGAATTACAATATGATATCAAATTTTTAGTGTCGCATTTTAAAATTTTTAGAGAAAAATTTTTGAATCTAATAAGCTCAACATATTTATTTATTTAAGTAAATTTACAAATTCGATTATTAATTGAAAATATTATGTATTAAAAAGTTGAAATTTTAGACATTGTAAAAAAAAAGAAAAATAATAGTGAAGATTTATGAGAAGAATTTTAAATGCATTAACGACAATATTCAATCAATAAAAAAGCTGTCATGCATAAAAATCAATGAGATTTTTGATTTTTTTTTTTTTTGGAAAAGCTGCACGGTTAAGCGTCTTTAAAAACATTATATGCGGACAATAGACAAAATTTCTCTAAATTAGTTATATGGACTGGTCCCGGCCCAACGGCCGGTTGATGGGCGGGTCGACCTTCAGCTTGCACCTTTGTAGGCTGGGCCGGTCGATTAAAGAAGTGTTAGAATCGATTCTCTTATAAAGCACATTTTAGGTCAAAAAATTGGCTAAATATCAACTAGTAGTTTACAAATATAGATATTCATTATTTGACTAATTCAGGTAAACAATGAATGTAAGGGCTAATGTATCGAATAGCGTGTACAGGGTATCACATAAAATTACCCGGAAGATCATCTTCCAAATTCGTACAAATTGGACCATGAAGAAAACCGAACATCGGAAACTTGAAAATCGAATTGTAACACTAATCTGGCTGGTACAGAAATCGGCGTAACTACCGAAAAACAATCAAAACAATAACACGTAAACAACGAATATGTTAACGTGATCAAATAGATAGAAAAACGAAATTAACGTGATGTATTTTATTAATCGAAAATAATTATTTAAACCCGAATTTTTTACATGATAGTTATTCTTGCGTATTCAAATTGTATTCAAATTATATTTATTCACATTCTTATATTACCCTTATAAAATCGTTAATCATATTACTGTATTAAAATCGAAATTTATACCACAATATTTTTACCGTATACCGTACAGAACCTTGAATATTAGTTTAGCACCAACGTACTCAATATCTTAAATGATATTAAACTACATAGCGTATATTCTTATTTACTATTACACATTATTATTATTTAACTGTATTATCTATCGTATATTAAATATTATAAATAAAATCAAAGTTTATTAAATATAAACATATTTCTTATCGAAAAACTTGTTAATAAAGTGTATTTAACTATATAACTTTCTGGACTAAAAGTTTCAACGAACATCAAAAGTGAAATAGCGCGCACTCTTGAGTACTAACTTTGAGAATAGCTACCTCAAAGAAGGAACTATATTGAAACAGAAGTATTAACTAACATTCGATAAACACAATAAAGAATTAAAAGCAAAGAAATACTTAGAGAAATATAAGGCGCTCAACCAACTAACACCTACGAATCACACCTTTACCTTAGAAAAATTTAACTAACCACTACAAATTCAACCAGAGCAGCAAGCCATTCAGGCTATATTTAATCCAAAAAGTAGTAAGAAACCAGAGAAACTTGGTTAAAAACTACCCAACTGTTACCTACGGACTACACACCCATACCATCATTGAACCTACAAAATAAAATTAGAACGAACAAAGCACCAAAAAGAATCATATTCAAACCAATCATAATTATTCACCCACATAATCATTTAATTCGAAACTCAAAGTATTCCAACGCCAAAATCCTAAACAATACAATACAATACAGTAATTGAACAGAGAAAGGCATCCAACTTCGCCAAAACAAATTCTCAATGATTAACGCCAAAACAGCCTTAATACACCAAATAATATTATTCATAATATTAGTAATTTTAGCCTCAGAACAATACCAATATCAACAGAAAAATCGAACCATAGTACAAGCCGATATAGTAATTTCAGTACCAATACCACAAACAACATCTGCAACACCAACAATGCCAAACGCCCAAGAAAATCCAAGTACAAAGCCAACAAACGCCAAAATCACAATACTAGCTACATCTACAGACGCTCCAAACAACAATATAAACAATACCTTAGCAATAGAAATTCTATCAACAATCACAGCTGCATTATCAATAATAGCCATATTATTAGGAATCTGTATTAGAAGAATTAGGAAAAGGAAATTAGGCTACAAGCGTAACTTAACACAAGCGCCAATAGGGACGAGTCAAACACCATTTACAACACCATTAGATTTAAACAATATCAACATAGAACAGTTAGCCCAACAATTATCACAATTACAAAACAATCAACCACCGAGATATAAATAGAAAAGCGACCAGAAAAATATTTTAATACCATTACCACGCCAAAACAACAATACTAGTGTAACTGTATATGAACTATTCCATTCAGGAACCTTCATTTATAAATAATTTAATTAAAAATATTAGAACAAACCAAAGCATATACCCACGTGATCAAACATATTCGCAAACACAAATATTCTTTCACAAACAATTTATGACCACCATCCAAACTATTGTACCAACAATCGATAACACTCCAGGAGATATATCAAAGAACCCCTTAGCATATTCATTGTTACAAGCACTAATTATAGTAATATTTATCTATATATTAACAATTACTATTTGCTGTATAGCAATACAAAGGTATAAAAAGAGACTATACAAAAGACATCCGAACATATCATACGAAGCCCAATACAACGACTCAGGCTGCTGCTAAATGAATCAAACCCAAGAACAACCAATTACACCAATCTCACCAGAAACTGCTACAATTATCACACTTACTGTTATAAGTATCGCATTAATAGTACTTATTACCATCTGCATACACAAAAGCTGTAACAGAAGAAAACAAAGGAACTTAAGAAGAAACAATAGGGTACCAGAATTTCAACAAGGACAACACGAACTAAGAACCCTAACCCAAGAACAAATCAATAGTCTACCACCTGATCAACAACGAAAGCTTAGACAATACCAACAAGCACTCCAACAAGGAAACAATATCTTCAACGGAAGAAGATAAATGAGTCAACAGTTCTCACTCGTAACAATATCAGTACCCACAATAACTCAGTCAATAACTCAGACCTTAAACATAACAATAACTCAAACAGCACAACCAACAACTGTATTTCAGACAACTACAGCAACTGCAACAGTAACACCTTCATACTTTCAAGACCAGAACGTAATAATTGAAGACATAGTAATAGCATTAATAGCAGTATTCACATTTATATTAGCAGTATACTTCGGATATAAACAAAGACTTAATAACAAACTCAAATTAGCAGAAAAAGAACAACAAAGAATATATCAACTTGCATCAGCAATTGATAGTACTATAACACCTGTAACTACAGCTTAATGAATAATAACAACATCAACTTATTAAACCCTGAAGAATACCTCAAAGATATTGAAAATAGAATCAAAGAACTCAGAAATATCGATTTAGGACCCAAAAAGTACAAACAGTTAGAACAACACGAAGAAATAATATTTCAACAAAGCAAGGTCATAATTGATCAAAATAAACCTGCAAGAGCAGAACTAGTACAAGCATATATTATCAACTGTATAAGGAAAGAAGAACCTGAAGAATATATTAATAACATTGTAAGAGTGTATAAACAGGACTTAGAATATTTAACCAGAATCACGAACCAAAAATACCTGAATGCAACACAGTAACACAATTAAACTCACAAACCAAGAACTCAACTACTGGCTAACGATATATCCAAATACATATTATCACAACTCAAGAAAAAGAGAATTACAAGACCAATTCAAAAGATATTTTGATAGCATACCTTCATATCAAACAACATTAACAATAAGGGAATACGATACATTCGTGAAAGTAATTAACGCACTACGAACCCTTGAAGACGAATATAAAAAGGAACTTGAAAAGATATCAAAGAAAAAGAAAGAAAATCAGAAGAAATTCCTTGATAAACTTAAGAAATTCCCAGAGATAAAAGACTCATTAACCTATATAACTATTGGACATATTTCCAAAGAAAGAGAAGTGTTAGAAAAAGGACTTGAATTAGAAAACTTACATATCAAAGATTATATACAATTTTGTCTATATACAGAAATAAAACCAAACTTTGACGCACAATGGCAGGCGCTATAGAATTTCCAGACCTCAACAAAATTAACTTTAAAACTTTAATGAATGGAATGATACTCAATGGCTCAAATTGGGTACAATTTAGAAATCATTTCGAACATGCAATACAAGTATATGTACCACTGGACTTATTAACAACAGGATACTTTACTGGAAACTACAATAATGGATATAATAGAATAGCATTAAATAATATAGCAGGACTTATAGCAGGAAACGCAGCAGATGCAGGAGCATATAATGTAGTATTTTTAAAGAACCTAATACACAAATTGGCGATATCATGCTTTGATTACGACAGATACATATTATATGAAACACATAAAAATGAATTGACAACATACTTCCCAAGTGACTTCAATAGAGGAGCACGAAGAAGAAGGCATGAATGGGAATCAGTACAAGATAACCCAACAACAATCTTGTTAGACAAAACCAATTTCCCTGAAGAAATGAACATGTACTTCCAAGCAGCACATACTGGAGGAATAGGACAAGGAAACTTAACATGTGCAGATACGGATGGAATGTCAAGACAAATATCATTCAGATTATGGTTTGATAAAGTATTTATAACACCAAAAATGATTAAAGAAAAACAGAAATTGTTCAACAAAATGAAATTTGAACCAAGATATTTAATTGAAATAGATGAAGCAGCAAACTTCCAAACCAAATTTAACCGCGACTTAGCATTATGTAGAAACAACACATCATTCTTAGGAGGATTACAAATATTATTAGAAGGAATGTTACCAAATGGACGACATGAACTGGAAGACTACAAAAGCCAGATGAACTTAATTAACAATGAAATCACGGATACACCCGCATTCTTTACAGCACTATCAAGGGTGTATGATTATTATAAATCAGGAAAAGTAGGAGAATATTTCAGAAACCAATCAGAAAAGAAACAAACAAACTTCCTAAATAAACAAAGAGAATTCTATGATAATGAAAAGAAGAAAAAAGAAAATAGATTCAAAAAGAATGAATTCGCAATAGTATCTCTCAGAAACATGAAATGTTATAATTGCGGAAGAAAAGGACATCTTATGAGTGACTGCAGATCAAAGAAACAAGATAAAGGATATAACAAAGGAAAGAAATTCTCAAAAGAAAGGTTCTCAAAAGATAGAAGCAGAAAAGAATTTAACAAGAAAGGAAATGGATATACGGACAAAAAAGGAAGAACATGGAAATCCAGAGAAGACTACAAGAAATGGAAAGAATCAAAGAAAAGAAAAGACTCATCCAAGCCTTATAGAACCAAAGAAGAAGGATTCAAGAAATCATCATTTCGCCCAAAGGACTCATCAGGACAATACGAAAAGAAATATAAACCATTTAATAAAGAAAAATATAAGGATAAGAAAATGTGGTGTGATCATTGTAAAACAGATACACATTTTACCAATAGCTGTTACAAATATCGAAAAGACGTAGAAGAAATAGAAGACCCAATGGTATTCAACCTTGAAAAATCAAGAGAGAAGGAAGATTTTGATGAATATATCCGATTCACAAAATTTAGAGAACAATACCATCTTGAAAATGAATACTCGTCAAGTGATGAAGAATTACAATTCTATCAAGAACTTGAACAATACGAAACATCAAGCAATTCAAGCGATTCTGATGAATATGAAAGTTATAACCTTGAAAAGAAAAGCTCAGAAGAATCAGAAAATGATTATTATTTCTAAACGGGAGCATGCCCAATACTCATGAACAACTCCCTAAATTAAATACAGGCTGTATTGGAGAGTATAATAACAAACATTATAATATGTATAATTATCCATATCCATATTCATGTATCAAAGAACTAGAACTATTCACATTTAATAAAGAAAAATATTTTAACGAACCAAAATACTCTGCCTATCGTAATTATGAGAAATTATTCT